ATATTTTACATTTTAGACTGGGGTGCCTTGAGAGTTTGCATATTTTTAAAGGGTACCATGAATGAAAAAAGGTTGTGAAAAACTGCTATAGAGTGTTACTGAAGTTAAAGCTCTGGATCTGCTGCGACTCATGACATAACATCCAAGATGGCAATGCCCAGCAGCAGTCTTGGTTGTCTACAAAGGGGATACCTTTACATTTAAATGCCATGCATATATTAAATCCACAAACAATCTTAAGGGAAGATTATTGTTGAAATAGTCTGGAGACAGGGTAACTTTAATTTGGGAAGGCTTCATGTGCTGGCTTCGAAAGTAAAAATATATATAAAATAAAATGATAAAAAGAAGCAATTATTTATTTCCAAAAGATAATATTATTGTTTATATAGTATGATTTACTTTGATCACCTCAAAAACTGAGTGACATGTTAATTTATAACCAAGTAATACAATGTTGTTGGACATGAAAGGCTGTCAGATGTCTGTACATACAACGCATCTTCTGGTTGTTAATGAATCGTACATTTCCTTAAATGAGCGGAACTTCATTTCCTTTTTGCAGGGTGAAAGAGGATTGAGTTAGGCGGCTGAAATAATAAACTCTAGCCAGTCCCTTGTGGCATGTCACTGTTTCCACTTCTGTGCTGTTCTAATTTCATTCCTCAGTCAGTTCTGCATGTCACTTGTAAAAATGAATTACTGTGCCATGATAACAAATGCTTGTTGATTCCAAAGGTGCATTATACATGACAAGGTGGAGTTGTTGTTCCTGCTTGCGGAGCACAAGAACGTGTTTATCATGCTACACTGTCTCAAATGACAAACACAACACAACTGTGATATTTTCATGAGTACTTCAATATTTCTTTTATAACTTTCTGAGAAAAATGAAAGGATCCCTTCCCTGGACAGAATCACAAAATAGTTAAACTAACCAACATTACCACTTAATGACCATTTAAAGTGAAAATAGGAAAATGTATATAAATCAACTTTAGGACTAATAAAACAAACTAGTAACTTACCATCTCTATGCTGATGACACTCAAATCTATCTCTCCACTCCTCAGCTCAACCTCTCAGTTTCATAACACATCACTAGTTTACTAGCTGACCAATCAGTGTGGGTGTCAGTGTGGGCGTCACATCACATCCTTAAACTCAATCTGTCAAAAACTGAGCTCATAATATTTCCTTCCCACATGTCCCTTCCCCCAACTTCTCAATTGAGATCAATATCACAATTAAGAGGTGAAAGTAATGGGGTATCCTCAAGAGCGGGGAAACCAAAGTGATCCAGACCTCAGAAATTCAAAATATTCATATATATTCCCAAGGAGTGTGGAACCCACAATATGCAGTAGAGAAAAATCCCTTTGGGGCATATTATTTCTTTACTCAATATCACAATTACCAGTCCCTCCACACATGCCAGGGTACTAGCTGTAATGGTGGACTCTGACCTCTCCTTCAGGCCTCACATCCCACATTTTCAAAATTCACCCCTTCTTCCAAAAGACCGACATATAAAATTAAAAATACCAACAACAACATACAAAGCCATCTAAAACTCTGCCCCAGATAGGTGACCAACCTCGTCTCAAAATATCACCCAAAACATCCTCTCCACTTCTCCCCATCTCCTCCTTCCATGCATACTTCCAGGACTTCTCCAGAACATCTGCCATCCTCTGGAACTCCTTACCACCTCCTATCCAGCAATCTTCTACTCTGCCTGCCTTCATGCATTCCATATCCTCTTGAAAACTGTACATTATCTTCTGTATCACTTACATTTCCTTGTAGATTGTAAGCCCTTACACGCAAGACCCTTTTAATCCACTTGTATGGAATTGTATTGTAACTGTACCGTCTCCCCATATTTTGTAAAGTGCTGTGCAAACTGGCCCTCTATAAATCCTGTATAATAATACAAATAGGTAATAATAACTTTTAATGTGAAAAATAACAATATCAAAACAGCTTTTGTGTGTGTGCTCCGTGCATGCACAAACATTCACCAATTTGGTCTGAAAATGGGAAGAGATTTTGACCTGTTTAGCCATTTCTGCTCCACTGGATAGGGGAACCCAGGAGTTGACTAGATGTGTGGCAAATTTGCTTAAAAGACTCCTGTTTCTGGGCCAAGTGGGCCTCTCATCCACAAGTACAAATAATTAACAAGCAAATATTTTCTTCAGAGGCCTTTAGAACTTTTGGACTTGATCTCCTGAGGTGAACTGGAGTCAGCAATTAAACCTTTATAGCAAGTGAATGGTTCCATTTGGGACAGCAAGGTCCATTCCTATATCCAGATGTAGTATCCAGTGAAAGTTCTCTATCATTTTCTTCAGCTCGAATCCAGAAAACATCTCACAGAGTTACTAAAAGAGACCTTCCAAAATAGACCTACTAAAAGAGACCTTCCAAAAGTCTATGCTGCATAACGTCCTTTTTCTCTTTCTTGTTCTGCTTCTGTTGACTAATCACTTTCATTTGTGGCTGTGAGAAACATTAACATTTTTAAATCAGTCTTTCTTTTTGTGAGAGACAGCAAGGAGCAGATGTGTATGGAAGTACATCTCCTATACTATACACAGAGGTTCTCATATGCCCAGATTTCGCAAATTTGACTGCAAAAGTGGAAATACACTTAACAAAAGCCATCTCTGACCTCTGTAGCTGAAAGATAAATTCTAAGGTGTTTCTTATCATTCTGCTCTCCCCCTTTACGTTCAAGCTTAGAAGGCTGGCAGGCTGCCAACTCACAGCTGGAAGGGGCGCAGGGTGAGTTGAGCTGCTTCAAATGTTGAGCTGTATCAAAGGGAAAGGGTTTGTGCTAAACACTATGAGGCCTTCAGATGGGCTTCAGTTTCCACTGCTTTCTAAAGTAATTTACGGAAGATCACTTTTCAGAGGGCAGTGAAGCAGCGCCTGCCAGGCATTCAGGAGGCAATACTGCTGCCTCCTAATTGCAGGTTTTTTAAAATAAAAAACCCCAGTGGCACGTTGCATTACATGCTGTATATTTTATGCCACACTGGATCGCAAAGCATCGTGGCTGTGGCAATGTATTCAGCAATGTGCGGATGTGTGAATGAGGTCTGAGGATGAATTATACCACAGTGCCTGTAGTTACATAAGGCAAGTTCATAAGTTCACTGCTTGTTAAAACTGTTTAAATATTTAAATAGCATGGCCCATTGCTACTTTAAAAACTGAGCAGGTACGTAATGATCCCTTTATGTATCTTGAGAATTCATTTTCACTATTGATTGGAGTGTGCCTCTCCTGGACACTACTTACTAGAGAAAGACATACAAAGTGAAGAAACCCTTTTTATTACTTACCAGTCAGTTTTCATCCATTGATACATTTTTTTGCAGCAGTATAACAAGTGTTCCTTAAGGAGATCGGATTTATTTATGATATTATTATTTTTTTGGTGGCTTTTAGTGTTTTTATATTTTCATTACCCTGAGTTTAAATTTAAAATTAATCTTCGTATATGTAAGTACAGTATGTGTGTCGGACAGCTTATTAAAACTAAACCACCTAAACTTCACCTAAACCTTTTTTTTAACTTTTGGAAAAAGTTCAGATGTATTAAATGTCCGTAACTTTTTATTGCTGTCTTTTTTTTATTAGGGATAATTCTCTTAAGATAATGTTTGGTCAGTAGGACAAGTAGAGAGGAGAATCACTTCAGCGGTAACAGTGAAAGCACTTTTGTTTACTGTAAAATGGAGGGTAAAAACCTCTTACGGAGATTTAGAAAGAGATTTGGAATATTGGTGAAGATCCCCAACTAAACAAAAAAAAAAAAGGAAAGTGTAAAGGAAAGTAATCCCAGGCAGCTCAGTTCCTCTCTGCCATGCTTCTTCCAATCACTCTCTGCTACCAGCACACCTGTGGCCTCCTGACTATTCTGCCCAGCCCGCTAAACAGTTCTTCCTCTGCTTTGTGTACCGGGGCAGAGCCAAAGTCTAGCTGCCAATGCAGGCAGTAGAAGTCTTCCTCTCCGGGGTCCCTGCTTCCCCCCCTGCCGCACTGTCCAAACGCTATGTTGGAGAGAAGCAATCAAAAATTATTGGTTAAATCTAATATTACTTTTTCCACCCACTCCTTTTCCTTTACACTGGCCTTTCAAAAGAACACATTCAATATTTAGAGACTGAATGAAAGGTTTAGCATAGTCCAGCACGTTTTATGAGTAAAATTGTAAATAGTTTTTTATAGATGTCTATAAATCAGACCAAAAAAGGGACAACTGAGAAGTAAAGGGGGGCAGAGGGTTTTGGTTCCAAAAGAGAAACAACCCCCCCAAATGAGGAACAATCGGGAACTTTTCTTTAATGTGTTCTGGCTTGTGTAGAGATATTTGTAAAAAATTGAAATATTGAATCTGAAAAAGAAAATGCTAAATTAATGTGTGGTATTTTATAGATGTTTTATACAAGAAAAACACAATGTGAATCTGGAGCTATCATGGGGTTATAGAGAAACTGTCCTTCACTCCCAACATACAGACAGGAAACACCTGAAATCTTAAAGATTGTCCTGAAATAAGAATACCACTTTTAAATATAAGCACTTCTGATTTTTAGTAGGAAAATATGAGTAATCAAAATATACACAGTGCAATTATCCTAAAATATGTCTGTATATGTATATAAAATTAGAAACAATTGTTTTTAATATATTGCAATTTAGTGATCTGTAAAATATAAAAAAAAGAACCTGAAATACACTATGCCTGTGTCAGTTAATTACGTATCTCTAATAGCCTGCAGCTACTGCTCATCAGATTCATTGGAGTTGGGGTATAATTTGTTAGATTAATGATTGATTCTATTATAATGAGCTCTACTGAGATACAGCTGATCAGAAAAATAAAACTCTGCACATTTCAGCCCAGAAATAGACTATATCATGAGAAATATACATTAATTAAAGCAAAGAAAACTCATGGCAAGTTTTTTTTTCATGTCTTTTAGAACAGAGAAGTGACCTGCAAGAGAGAAAAGTGCCCGGTGGTGTCCAAGGATTGTGCTCTGGTTGTCAAACAGAGGGGAGCTTGCTGTGAACGCTGTAAAGGTGCGTTTTTTTAATGGTATTCCTCATTGTCTTTTTTATGACTTAAATATTGTGATATATCATATTGCTTAATACAGCGATCTGCAAAGCCAGTAAAGTCAGTTGATTATTTTTGAGCTCTGTATCTGTTAGGATCCAGAGCGCCTCCAGGTGGCGCTGGAGCTAAGCCCTGCGGTTTCCGTACTCACCTGCAGGTGTTTCCAGGCACCCAGGAGCTGTCAGGTACCAGACCTCCACTGGGTGGTGCTGGAAACTGCAACTCCAGGGCTCAACTGCAGGTGTCTCCCAGCTGCCACCAATCATCCACCACCTGGTGCTCCCTGGGAGGTTACTTAAGCCCACCCTGCAGTCAGGTCTGTGGCTCAGTATCAGTATTGTGTCCTGTAACCTGCTTCTGTTCCAGAGTCCTGTATCCTGTTTATGTTCCCTGCTTGTTGTCCGGAACCGTGACCTGCTTATGTTCCTGAGTCCTGAGTCCTGTTAGCTCCTTGTACCCTGACCTTTTGTCTCTTATTTCCCCTGGTGTTTTGCTTTGCTCCCTGGGTGTGTTTGCCTGTTACTTCTTGCATGTGGTGTTGTTTAGATGTAGTTGGTTGCTAAGACTTGTTTCTGTTTGTATTATTCTGGTTGGCATATTAAAACGGTAAATCATACATTCTGCCTTGTCCTGTGTGGTCACACGTGTTTGGTCTCCCTGTGTGGGTACCTGCGCAGGTGTGGGGTCACCTGTGCCGGTATCTCTGACAGTATCCATGTTTTTCCAGAATTTCCTTGTTTAGGCAGTTAGATCATTTAAATGGTAAGTTGGTAAAAAAGTTACCAAAAAGGTTATTACTTACTTGTGTCTCCGCTGTTCGCTCCCGTCTGAAGATCTGAAAAATTCTCGAGCAGCCCTGAAGGATCATGGATCGGTCACATGCGCAGTAGAGATCTTTGGCCGGGAGAAGAGGAGAGACACAGGATAAGTCAATGCAAGCAGCCCGGTAGCGTGCACGCACACAGGCTCCGTGGGATAGGAAGACACAGCAGTCAACGCTGGATCAGAGAGCGACACCAGCGCTGGAGGGACTCCTGAAAACTACTGGAAAGAAGAAGATGGCATAATTTAAGGTAAGTCCTTAAAGCAGCATGGGGGGGTGAATTTTAGACTTTATTGTCACTTTAATAAATGAGGTGAAGCTCAGCTGCACTGCTTACCCCGCTCTATAAATTAGTAGGACTGTATTCAACTGACTATAGTTGTTCAGGCTGAGAATACAGAATTGTAATATGCTTAATGGATTTTGTATCATTTTCATTATTGGGTTTTACTAATCACAATAAAAATACAGAAAAGGAATGTTGAGTAGAAAGCACTAAGCAGAAGACATTAAACCTCTGGTGTGCCTGCTTGCTAATTTATGTATATATGTTAGTTTTGGAACTGCTGATATGTTATTGTAGTATATAAGTATATCATGGACTCTATACTAAGGTGACATTTTGGTTCTAGGTGGAGCCTGTTGGGCAGAGTCTAGAAAAAAAAAAAAAGCAAAATTATTCTGTCACAACTACTGCTTCATGTATTTACACATACCTTCCTGAGACTCATCTGTACGGATAGTATGACAACCTACTGACTTGGTGATATTCACAGATAGGGTCCAACTTGATACGAAGACTCAAAGTAGAATCCAATGTAGTTTATTTGCCTTCTCAATACAGAGGATGTGATTCTTTGTCATTTTTAAAATGACAAGACGCTCTTACCTCAGTGAGGGGTGATGCAGAAAGGAAGAACAGAAAAGAGGCTGTGAAGGTCTAGCAGATGACTGTACCAATGTACAGAAAGCAGCAGGGGTGAAGGGAAGATACCAAGTTATACCACAGATTAGGCTGTAACAATGCTAATCTACCAGTAGTAGCTAGAAAACAGCATAACACAATTAAATGCAATGTAATATCTATGTAGTGTAACTGAAACAGCAGAAATAATAAAAATGACACTGGCTGTGGCAGCACAAATATAATACAGAAAAGCAAACTAATGCCTAAGTCTAGACAATTGTTATTTTGTTTTAGATATAGTGGAGGAAGAGTTAAAATGTATTTCTGTACGTGACTCCATTAAGTAGATTTTGCCTCATTTCCTTTCCTTGCAATTTGGGATAGGTTGGCACATGGACTGGAAGGCTCAGGCAGCTATAAAAATTGATAACAATTGCAACTCTTCCCTGCTACCAAAAATGCGGTTTTGTGTATGTTATTTTGGAGGGATTCCCCATCAATTACAGCCCTGAGAGTTTTGGCTGGCATTTGGCTTGAATATCGGTTATCTACATTGCAGATATGGGGACTTATATATACATACTTTGCCATGCCCAAAAGGAGCACCAGATGTAGTTATAATAATAGCTTGCTCAGCATAGATTATATTAGTTACTGTTGTGTTCTGCTATGCATTCACAGGCTATTACCGCCAACTCCTGCAGTAACAACCAGAAAAAAACCTTGCAAGAACATATGGTAGACCACAGTGCAACATAGTAAAAAAAAAAAGAGGAACAAGCAGGTTTTGAGGGGAAGTGCACAGTGCATCTCTTGAATCACTCCTCCCAACAGTTTCTGCTCCCTCTGGGGCTGACTGACTAAGCTGCTGTCTGCCTCATAAACTTGGAGATCTGGCAATAACATTGAATTCCCAAACATCTTTGGGAGAAACCCAAAGATTTCCTTGGTCTACTGCTAATCTTCAAACACAATACGTGTGCTACCACCTTCAGCATGAGTATTGTGCTATGAATATGCACATCATTGATGGGAAGGTAGAGGAGTAGATACTGAAGAAAGTGTATAATGGCTGTTCCTGAAAATGCTCACCCGGCCACCAGATTGCATTTGTGCAGATGGCCATTGTCTAATGTGTCTAAGCAACATATGAGCTTGAGGGTTGCATGAAGGGTGATGGACTATTTTTTTTAACACCTGTATACAGCCTAAAACTATAAAAACGCTGTTTGGTTTATCTGGCCAATCCATCAGTCTAGAACATGCGCAGTTAGGCATTATTAACCTCTTACAGTGCGTATTTGGATGGAATGTGCATGAGTTGGCTCTTTTTGGTGTGCCTATGCTACAGGTGAACATGTCACCTTACCTACAGACCTTACCTATAGGGCACTTCCAGTGAGATGGAAGAAAAATCACTGCTGTAATGGTGCCATCATCATGGCGAAACTGGAGAGTTGTAATTTAACGTGGGCAGCAAAAGCGCCTAGCTAATTGTTTGCAGAGTGACCCGTCATCCCTGCAGTCAGACAGAATCTATTCAGTGCACACTGTGGAGGTTAATCTAAAGCAGCATTAGAAGAGCATGATGGTCATGACAATATAAATCTAATGCACATTTTCAGCTTTGCTCTGCTTTTACAGCATCTACTGTATGTGCACGCACAAGGGCGGAATTGGATGGGAGTAAGGTGTAGTATGGGGTTTTGGTGATACTGTATTGAGTAGAGGAAAGGTGGATGCAGAGGAAGTGGAAAAGAGAAGTAGGTAGGGATCATTGGAGAGGGAAATTAGGTGCAGGATATGGTGGATTCTGGAGGAAGACAAACAAGTTAGAGATTTTGCTAAACCTGCAACCCATACTTAAATGCCTTAATCTGTGCACTTTTGCTAATACTGTTAAAAAGCTTCACATGTTAAATATGTTTCTATTTAATATATCAACTTTAAAGAGACTCTATCACTTTGCCCATTCAGGCTAAATTGACAGGTTTTCTTTTAATAAAATATCTTCTACTTGTTGATATTCACTTTGCCTGCGCAAACCCATTGCTCCATACCTCTGTTTGACCCCGAAATCCAATCACAGTATAAGTTCTTTGTTCGCATTTGTTGGAACTTATGCAGGATTAATTGATTTTCCCTTCTTCTCCAAATGTGACTGTTAGGACCTGGCAATTCAATAAACAAAATACCTTAGTATCTATGAGGTTTTAAGAGGCATCAGGCTCTAATTTCAAAAGGTAAAACATTTATTGACATGTTTGATTAAAAATCCAACATTATTACATAATATTTATATAGCGCCAACAATTTGTGCAGCGCTTTACAATATAAGGAAGACATTACAATCACAATAAAATTCAAGACAAGATGGTAAGGAGGGCCCTGCCCCCGAGGGCTTACAATCTAAAAGGGGAGGGTGAAGTGATACATGAGGAATTAGCTGTGTGGGGATGAATTGTTTAATATCAACATTAAAAACAGTATTGCAAAAACAATTACCTCAATTCTGCCTCTCACTGCCACATAACTCTTATACAAGTCAATTCTTAACTTCCTTAGTACTTATTTCATTAAATATGATGCAGTCCATCTTTGTAAGTTATGTCCATTTTTTGGTCTTTTTCCACTGGAACACCTGGAATTATTAGCCCTGTGGAGCTATGATATGAGGCTAGGACCTGGCAATTGGTGGCCTTGGCCCGAGCACTGAATTGGAAGGAGGTCATGTGCTTCCCCTATACCTGGATACCTTGGGTATTTACCCTAGCAGAACATGCCATTTTGCCCAATTAGTTGGGCATTACAAAAATATGTGTTGCTGTTGTTCTCCCGAAGGTATAACTGTATGGAGGATATCCTTGTTTTTAATATAGAAATTATGCTCTCCAAATCACAGTGGTGGATGGGGAGCTCAGCTCTTGAGTATCCCCCACAGATGGCATTATATCAAACCAGTAGTCTATATAGTGCGACAATTATGATGACATCAATTTTGCCACATGCAGCATGCAGACACAGACACTCCTTATCCCACTGCCCAACAGAACAATTGGCATGCAGCATGGACGTATTGTGAGCTCTTCTTTTTCCTTCTTGCATATATGGGTTCTAATTAAAAAAACATTGCCTTAATCTGAGTGAGGACATGCAAAAATAAAATCCCCATTTTTGACTAACATGAAGAAATGTGTTAAGCATTAAATCAGTGAATTGTAATGAACTGGTTT